TCCCTACATTACATTGTCATCTTCAGAGACTTGCACTCATAACACTTGGAATAATTAAGTGATCTGCATAGCAGTAATACTGTTGCCCTCTGCAAAAATGCCATGCCACCAGCTTTTAACTAAGAATGACAGAAATCCAGCCCTGAAGGCAGCAAAGAGAACAGCTTAAATTCTAAAAAGTTTCTCCTGGAATCTCAAAGGTGTAAGCCAGAAATAAGAGAGGTGATAGCGATGGATGGTAAGTTAGTATTTTCAGTGAATGTTCATGAGCAAGTACTTTCCCAGAAGATGGCTATTTAGTGTTGTAGTCTTGCAGAAAGATGAAAGAGAATTAGGCCTCGTGTTTTCTTCATCTTTCCTATCTCTCTCTTGACATGCAAGTCAAGATTTCATGTTACACTCTCATATTTGTTCCTCCTACTGTTCGAGCGTTGCTCAGTGTCCTCCCAAAATGGTCACTCATCACTGACATCTTTTGGTTTGAAAGAAAAGGAAACTGCGGCAAAGAAGTTCTCATCCTGGTTGCAGACAGTAGCCATTACTCTTTAGCCTTTCTGCTGGGGCATTCTTTAGGTGCACTTCAAATAGAGAGTGTCAGGAGAGCAGACCTTTCAGCTTACGCATAAGAACCTTCTGATCAGTCCTGAGATCCAGTGCCAGCCTACATCTCTCCCACCAGTTCAGGGCCAGGCGACTGAAAGGACTAGCTGACCCTGCTTCCTGCTTGTCAGATGAAGTCACATGGGCTTCAGGCTTGGATGGTACACCAGGACACACTCTGACATGTTTTGATGCATTTGAGGAGTCTGCTTTCCTGATGTGCACTAATGCAAAAGGCTTTGTTACCCATTTTTTTGAAAGGCAATTAAATTGAAATACAAGAAAAAAACCTTGAGAAAACAAACAGTTTTTTACAGTTGCTTGTGGAGTGAAACTGAAACCCTTCACACTTGATAAAAGTTGCATTCTTCAAAACTGTGTTCTCAGGGGATTTTTTTTAACCTTTTTCTCCACCACAAGACACACTATCAATTTTACTGCAGTAGGCTGAAGTGTTCAAGAATATTTCTGGTTTTTACATACACCATACTGCGATTCAACCTTTCCCCATATTCCTCATTCCTCCCAAACAATTCATGAGTACGCCAAAGTACTGTTGTGCTCTTCATCTGTTTAATGCACATGCAGTTCAGATGACAGTAGCTCATGTTAAACTCTCCTGATGTCATTACCAATTAAGGAGGCTATAATTCAGACATTTACTTGCAGCTTCTCCATTTGTCACTGAAATATTTTCCATAGTCCTGCATGTTACTTGAGCTATTTAGAATGAAACCTGTGACCATTCTAAAAATTGTAGTTAAAACAAGAAAGCTTAAATATCAGGTAGACACAATTAATGTGATTTCCTACACAAGGTCAGAAGAGCTATTTCCTCTTCTTAATGTTCATCGTTCTCCTATCTTCTAATAAAGCCTTACTTCCAGCCCTGATGTGTACCTGTTTTTCCCTCCCCCTTGTTTTCTTGCAAACTTCTAATCACAACTTCTTAGTGTCTTTGAAGTTGTCCCCATTTCTTTTCTGAACTTTACTGCTTCAGTTAAAGCACTTCAGGCTTATGAGGTCTACAGATTGTCCTCCCTGGGAACTTTGCTGCTATGCTTATTGCTTGCAGACTTTCAGGTCCCCGAGTGCTTAGCTTACGATATAGTCCATTTTACCATCGTCTGGTCTCTAATAAGACTATACTGATACAAACAAATAAAAAAAAAACCCCACCCGAAAAAGCGAGAAGACTTTCACTGGCCAAATTCCTTAATCCAAATAATAGAAGTATTTTCTCTAACCCTTCCCAGGTCAATGAAGATTTTGTTCATGGGAGCGTATGTTTAGCTACAGATGCATCTTCCAGGATCATAATGTTGTATGTATTAAATAAAGCCAAAAGTAGGGCAGAAGGGTCACTGTGCTAGTTAGCAACAACGTCTTCTGCTCAGTGGAACGTACCGAGAACCATTCCTCCAGGCTTGCTTTAGAATAGGTGATCCTATCTTCTCCTTGCCCTAACCTAATGTGAAGAAAAGAAAAGCTTGGATTTTTTTGTTTTGGGTTTTCTGAAGAGATTTCAAGGGTGTGCTTGGCCCTTATTTTCAGACTTTTCCCTCATGCAACTGGGAATTTCATTATTAAAGAAAAAGCGCTAAAACTTTCACAAAATACCATGATTCCAGCAGCTGGTATTTTGAGAAGGATAAACAAACAGAAATCAAAGTTGCAAGAATCCCAGTAACACTCCAGGAGACAGCAACAATGCCAACACGTGGAAATCATTCAAAGACAGCAGTGTAGGATTTATCTCAAAGTCAACAGAAGCGCATCACAGTCCATAAAAACAAGTAAACAGCTATATTAACACTGAACAGTAACATTTGCAACAGGAAATTGAATTCTGTAATCAATGAACACTTAAGAATTGCCATAATCTTTTAATGTGTATTTTCTTAGGAGTTTGATTCCAGAAATTAGGGGTAGGAAGGGCATCTGATACAAATGTTTCTGGGAAGGAATAATGACCAAATGGTTCCATTGTATGGCTTAGGGGGAAAAAAAAAAAAAATCCCTACACATCTGTAAATAACTATAAACCAAGCTGTGTTTTATTTTTTTTTCACAGCTGGAATACTAGTTTTTATTACAGCTCAACTGGCATTGCAAATTAAAATCCATCTCTGTTTGTTAAACTGCTACTTAAAATGGCTTCCACCAACTGTTACAGTTGGATATTATGTTGTCATTTATGCATTAAGTGGGAATGGTTCAATAGCATGAATATTTAAAAACAAGTACATGGAAAGTATTTTAATTGGGTTTCCATTGCTAACTGCTGAGTTATATTCCCAAGGTTTGGTCAAAGCTTGCTTAATTTTTCATTACCTACGAAGCAGCATCCACTGAATTAATGGAATCAAGACCCTTTGTAGGTGCATCTCAGGGTGTCTGATCATAGCAGAACAGAACAGCTTTGCACTTTTAATGGACGTCAATTAAAGTACTCAGCAGACTTCTACCAATGTCGAACAAGTTATTTGGTAAACTCTTCCTTAGAGATGTTAATTGGGAACAAAACCACCACCTTACCGCGAACAAAGGTACTATAGAATGACTGTAAGCACATTGGAACTTCTGGCAGAGATTTTCAAAGGTTCGCACTAGAGCTATGCGTGAAAAATTGTATTTTCATGGCCCACTACATCTATAAAGGCCCCAGATCCATGGAAGCTGAGGTGAACTTTGCAAAATGGATATTTGTATGAGGATCTAGCTCTAATTTAATTTAAAATATTTATCTGAGGATACAACAGGCAATTGTCAAAGGTAACCAGATCATTTATATGGGAGTTAAGCAGTTCTGAAAAATTTCAGTAGGTTTTCACCATCAGGTTTCTAAATAGCTCTTAATGACTGACTGCAACTTCCTCAGATGTCGTTACAAATTTTTTGTCTTTAACCTATAAATCACATCCTGCAAGTGACATAAGTATCAGTCTTATCTGTTACTCAGAGACAGTCACATCCACGATATTTTTGTTAAGGTTGTTCATGAACGTTACCAGAGACGATCTAACTTTACACGAATCCCCACGATCCATATACTGAAGTTACTACTTTTAAGATAGCTACGATACACATTGTTAAGGACTTACCCAAAGAGCTATCTATTACTCAACACTTATGAAAAAATCAGCACATTTATTTCGAAACCAAATAAGGTTTTCATAAATGTCAAATGATTCCTAAATATCATTAAAGTTCAGTAGGACCTGGTCACCTAAAATATGTTCAATAATACTGTTGAAAATATCTCCACTTATCTATGTGCTTTTGACATCCTCAACCTTAGATTTTTTTTTTAAACCACTTGCACTTTTATTGGAACCCTTCAGGGGAGGAGAGCTATTCCTCACGGTGATCACTGAATGACCATGGAGACTAGGAAAGTTCACAGCCTTCCCAGCTTTTTTGCCACATCAGGTCTTCCTGGCAAGTGTTACGGCGAGTATAAATTTAACATCTTATTTTTTCTAATTGGCTTTGTATATTAACTCCAAAACAGATACATCTAAGTGCCTTGTACTTTAAGCAAGTGTCTAAGTCTATATCTCTTCATTATTTAAATATTTTGTAGGTGTAAAGCTAAGTATTTTGAAAAACATTATGTTTACTCATTTCCTTAAAGTGATGGAGATTGTCCTTTACATTCTGAATCTTGAAAGTACTTAATATCAGTAAGGAAGTATCTTCCATCCATCATATTTCCCAAAATAAAGTAAGCAGCAGATTCACTGCCTATTACTGGAAAATACTCTCTTTACCCCAATCTAGCGATTCTTCCCTTGACTAAAATAAAGGAGTTTGTGCGAAAATTCCTCATATTGGCTTTTAAGATAATCATGTTGGTTTTTAAAATATAGTAAGACCATAAACATTTCTGTAGTTGGGGCAGAGGAAAATTACTCCTCCACTGGAAAATAGTCTGCTTAGTTTTAGTCCTATGTGGATTTTGTATGTGATTATTCTTGGGGTATATTAGATAAATATCTACAAGTGTGTCCTTTGAAATGTCTCCTCCAATCCTACTGCAAATTCCCAACATGATTTCCTAACTGCTTTCATTCTTTTCAAAGGGATGGAGTGGAGGTGTGGGAGGAGCACACAAATAGGACTTTAGAAAATTTAGTTTTCTTTTTCTGACCAATGCATGCTGTTCTCCCAAGTTAGAGAACTACTTCCAAAAAATTCTCCTGCTTCAAAGTGATAATGTACTTAAATTATAAAAAAAGGAAATCTTTAACATTTATCTTAATCTGAGGTTTACCTCCATTTGAACTTCCCAGGCAGACCAAACCCATGTGCCCATGGGTATTGAAGAGTAGCCACTTGACACTTTACTGTCTTCAAAATAAAAAAAATCTGTCAGCTTAGTTTTAAGTAGACTTAAGGTCAGGCTTCCAAAATATCTACTAAGTTCCAGGATATGCCACTGTTGATTCTAGCACTGAAGACTCAAGCCATTTTGCCCATTTTTTTGCAAGTGTTTTCTCTCTAAGTACAAGGTGTATGTGTCTCTGTACTCAACTCTTTTCAGTGTTTTCCTTCGGTTTCTGCCTACCCTTCTCCGATGTGATTGTCCTCTCAACACCTCAACAGCACTCCAGAATTCTAAGAAATATTTTTCTTTTTCTGGGAATACACTGTGTAAAGGGTTTTTAGATCCAAGAACCTTTCCACTCCCAGGAAACTCCAGAAGAGATTAAAGACTCATTGAAATCAGCTCTTTAGATGAACTCCATTTTTTTCACTTCAGAACATCAGTATAATCCATGCTATTTCAGTAAAAAGAGATGATTTCTACTTCAGTGATCCCAAAATGTTTGATTTTAAATAAAAGTGTCAAAATAACATTTATTACTATATCTTTCAGAATATTTCTACCTCAGAAAATATCAATTTCTCTTTCTATTTGAGGGCAAAACCAAATGTTGATAACTTCCAAATTTCACTAAGGCCTAATCTTTAGCTATTAGGTTTTAGGGAACCTGTATTAAGGGGTCCAAAATGGGAATTCCGAGCTGTGCCAGTAATAATATCAGCAGAAGTGTTTCCATCCTGTATTACAGGAAAAGAAAACTGCTAGCTGCATGGAATATTTATGTCCAAACAATGAACTGATATTTTCTTCATTATATATTTAGCTATATCTTTTTTTTTTAACTATCCAGAAGGAAACTGTTGTTGCAACTGAGAAGCTTCTCCCACTACCACACCTATATATATATATATATATATATATATATAAAGAGTAACCCCTATTGTTAAATAACTGTTTCTCTTGGCACAGAGAACTGTCAGTCTTCAGTCTTTTCTGCACATGGTTAAATACCTCCAGAAGACCCCAAATCTTTTTTCTTAGGGACACTGAACAAATAGAGACATATTCTGATGCAGGTTGTACTCTCATTATTTTAAACATGTCAAAGATGGGAAATAGCTTGCAGGGATAAACTTACTTTGAAGGACCTGATATTTATGGAAAAGAGTAAGATATTGTATGAAGATATGATGGATCATGACTGATACAAAAGTTTTCCCACTGACAATCCACTATGCTTCAGTGCTTCTGTCTTTATAATGCTAATGACAGAATTGTCCATCCAGTTGGATGGAGAATTTTAGGGGAGCTTTCTCTCTAAAAGGGAGAAAGAAAAGTCAGTGAGTTTCACCAAAAAAAAAAAAAAAGAAAAAAGAAAAAAAAAGAAAATGAAAGACGTTGTTAGAAGTCAATTATAAGTGTTACTTAGAAGAAGGAGCTTCTATCGAGGTGGGGGCTTTTTTCACAGGACCACAAAGAAAAGAGGGGGGCACATT